ATGAATTTGGACAGAAAAATTAAATGTATGACCTGGGAATGCTATTTAACATGTTTGGTGGTGGCATCACTAGAGTACATAAGTGAATCTCAGGAGCAGAACTTTAAACTCAAAAGTTGTATTAGTAATTTACATGTAACAATAACATAACCATATTGTTAGTATGTAAGACATAAATGCTGTGTAGACTTATAAAATTATGTTAAAAGGTAACATATGCAGATGGTGGAAGGAGATGGACATCATTACCCTAGGTACATGTATAATTGCATGAATGGTGTGTCTCTACACTGTGTACGACCAGAGAATTGAAATGTTTTTGCACCCTATTTGTGTACAAAGAATTGAAATATATTCTGCTGCCATATACAACTAAGTAGAACAAATAAGAAGAAATTTTTTTAAAAAGGTAACATATACAGTTTATCTCAACATTTAGTTGGTGCTTACTATATTATCAGGTGCTGGGTCAAATGTGAAGGTATACATTTTAAGTAAAATAAAGTGATCATCCTTGAAGCATTTACAGAGTATGTTACAGGAGGAGGAAAAAGCACTTCAGCCACTGGGATATTGGAAATATCGAGCACTTGGATAGCCATGAATCATTAAAACTAAAAAATGAATTACTGATGTTTAATTATTTAATGGGTAGAGAAACTAATCCCTGAAAAATAAAGTAGTACAGTATACCATGATAAATAATGTGATAGCAATATGTGGAAGGTATTGTGAGGACACAGAAAAGGAGCAGCTTACCCAGACAAGGTGGTGTCAGAGGGCTGCCTGCACAGTTGCTTGCTTACCAAAGTTTTTTTTTTTTTTTTTTTGTGGTGCTGGGAATTCCATATAGCTGAGCATCAAAAATACTTGAAGAGCATTCTACCTCTGCCATATGCAGTTCATCTGAGTAAAGTGACTTAAGAGCACCAGTGCCTTTCAGCAGCCTCTTCTGCATGAAGTGCTCAGAGGTCACTCCTAGTCCTCACAGAGGAAGAATGGCAAGACTGGCTGACACTAGGCTTGGCAAATGGGACATTTGAAGAAGGCAGACTTGAGTGAAAGTGTATCAGAAATCCAGAAGGTAGCCAAGGAAAATTAAAACCTAAAGGCAAGAAAGGGAGGTTGCCAAAGGCACAATATTGTTTTGCTTCTTTATAGTTTTGACCAGGCTTCTTCTGGCTGATACTTAAAATTATCTTCTATTCTGCAAGTGGAGTTTTCTGATTATGGTTTCACATAGTGGTAAAAGAAGGAAAAGCCAAGTGCTTTAAAAATCATGGAGCCAAGTGTGGTGGTGCACACCTATAGTCTCCATGATCCTGAAGAGTGAGGCAATAGGATCTCAAGTTTGAGACCAGCCTCAGCAACTTAGCAAAACCCTCTCACAAAAATAAAAAATAAAAAATATGGGGCTCATTATTTGATTCCATTATCTATTTAGAAAAAGGACTTCTGCTTTTTCTCCAATGTGGCTAATTTAGAAGACCTATTTTTCTTGAATTCCCAGTGGCAGCTAATTAGGAATTGTTCGAAGGACAAGTATTCTTCCTAAAAGCTGTATTGGATTTAGGAGTTTTGTTGTTGATTAAACCTCTGGAGCACTCTAGGAAGCTTTGCTTCAGCTTTGTTTTTTGGTGGCAAAGGAAAACCCGATCTCCTGGTTTACTTTTGGAATCTGCAAAGCAACCCTGAGGTCCCAGGTGGATTTAGTGTTTGGAAAAGGGAACTTGGGGAACTAAGGTTGACCCTGAGCCCCCAGGTCACTGTTCACATTTACAAAAGCAAACCTAGTATCCCCAATTGCTTTTCTCTTGAGGTTGGCTTAACTTTATTTTCTTCTGTCTTGGGTCACTGCCCCGAGGTGCTTCAAAAGCAAAATCCAAAAGACCCAAAACAAAGAAAGCTAAACCAGATTCAAGGAAAAAATGACCTGGCACTGTGTATTCGTTTTTACAAAGGCAAAAAGCCACTTCAAGAGTTCCAAAGAATGGTTTTAAACCTGCCTAGATTCATTCTGTCATTTGCATAAAGTGACTTCATCAAGTCTGAGACCCCAAGTTTCTTGGGTGTGGTTTAGGAGTGAGTTCCTGGGATGGGAAGCTGTCAGCAAGCTAAATGGGTTGACACAGATAGATTCCTCCGTAATTCAACTATTTTGAGCCTATAAATGGGACCACCCATGCAACCACTTCTCCCCTTAAGCTGCTCTTTTTGTTTTCTGGACACACAGGGAGCACTGAGGAAATGAAATTTATAACTCATGTACAAGTATTGGTATAAATCCACTTAATGTTATTAGTTATGAAGGGTATTTTTGAATCCTTGGTGGGAAAAAAAGGATACTAATTTCAGATAATCTTATAAATTGTGATGAGATAAAACTGAGGCACATTGTTTTGCTATTCATTTTTATATGATCCATAGTTTGCTTACTTCCCAAAAGGATTTAAGGTGGAATTATTTTACTCAACTGTTGGGACAAACCTGTTTATATAACTTAATACCAATTTTCATTACCATATACCTGGCTTTATCCTTTAATAAGTAATTATAAAATTACTTCTGGATAATCCAGGGAGATTTTTGTTTTTGTTCATGTTTGATCCACATCTTTGAATTTCAGTTATATGTGTTAACTAATAAATTCACCTGTTGAGACACCATGTCTTACTGTTTGTTTACAAGACTCAAAGAGATTTTGTGTGATTAATAACAAATGTATTATTTGTGCATTGCCATCTGAAGGAAGCACTACTCAAATAGAGGTGGGATTTTCTATAATTGAGGTTTTAATATTAAAAACACAGCATATCCTGTGAAACCTGAGCAATTGTGAGAGGCAGTCCCCAAAGCATTGACTATAATATGGAGTGAAGCTGAATGTCAGTGATTTCACCTGACAGCATCCAAGTTTCCTCTTTTCTTCCCATCACACTCTGATGCTGGAGCAATTTTGTTTTTTTTTTTATTGTTGCATTATAATTGGACATAATAGTGGACTGTTGTTACATATTCATCTGTGTACATAACATAGTTTTGTTAGTTTTATTCTCCATTTCTCCCCTTTCCTTTCCATCCTCCCTTCACATGGCTTCCTTCCTCTCCTCCAGTGGTCTCCCTTCTGTTTTCAGTCATATTGTTTTTAGGCTATCAAAATAAAAAAACAGGATTTGTGCTTCTCAGTCAGAACAAGAATGGGTAGCAACCTAAGGAAATAGATTTAGGCCCTAAAATCTGGCCAAGTGGGACCTAGGAATAAAGTCCTGGTTTTGTGTTATACTGTTCTTTTAACAGAAATGTATTTTAAAAATTGGAAAATGACCTTATAATTGTTGTGGATCAAAGATAACATTCAGAAATATTAGTGGTGCTTTCTCTAGAAATTGTTTTACTCAATAACTAGACCTAATGCAAAAATAATATCATGAAGGAATCTACCCTCTTTATCAATATCCTATCCCTATTGAAATCCTGGGAGAGACGGAGGGGAGTCAGTTTGCCTACAGGCAGTATAAGCCAGAGTTGTTTATAATGTGCTCTTTTTTAAAATTTAAACTCTTGAAACTTAAGTAAAAACTCCTCGGTATATTTGGAATAGTAGTCTGTTATCATCAATCAGTTCTTTCTTGAATATCTACTGAGTGGTTTCATTATGCTGAACACACTTTGATTTTGCTTGCCAGCTTGGTGAAGCTTTTCTCTCTTTACTCCTTCTAGCAGTAGTGTGCATTTGAAAAATCCTTATTTATATTCATGGAAATGAGAAATCAGAAAATGAGATCAGCATGCTTGCCGGCCCCATTCTTCTCTTATCTACATCCATTCATCCTTTGGAACCTAGACACTGAAGTGGTACTCAAATGTTCAGCCTTTAGATTCAATGAAAGCCAGGTTCACTGGCACACACCTGTAATCCCAATAGTTTGGGAGGTTGAGGAAGGAGAATCCCAATTTCGAGGCCAGCCTGGGAAATTTAGGGAGTCCCTGTCTCAAAACAAAAAGTAAAAAGGACTAGAGACGAAGCTCAGTGGTAAAGCACCCTTAGCTTAATCTCCACTACAAGAAAAGAGAAGAATCCAATAGAGACTGAGAATAATGAGTAAACAATCAGTGGTCTCTGCCTTATTCTGTATTAAAGTAATAGTAGCTTCCTCATGTCTTACTGTAGCTTAATAGTAGGATGTTCTGTGAATAGTGTTTTTTTAAAAATAATTTCATATTAACACCAAAATATTGCATATTTTGTTTTGTTTTGTTTTTATCTGTTTGTGGATCAAACTCATGGATGTCTTACCTCTGAGCTACATTTCCAAGTCCTCCATTTATTTATTTATTTGTTTGTTTGTTTGTTTATTTATTTATTTATTTATTTCTAACTTCTTATGTATGGCAGCAGGATGCATTTCAATTCATATTACACACATAGAACACAATTTTTCATGTCTCTGGTTGTACACAAAGTAGAGTCACACCATTTGTGTCTTCATACATGTACTTAGGGTAATAATGTCCATCTCATTCCACCATCTTTCCTACCCCCATACCCCCTTCCTTCTGCTCCATCCCCTTTGTTCTATCTAAAGTTCCTCCATTCCTCCCATACTCCCTGCCCCATCCCATTATGGATCAGCATCCTCATATCAGAGAAAACATTAGGTATTTTTTTTGGGGGGGGGGATTGGCTTACTTCACTTATATTCTAGCCCTTCTTATTTTTTTTTATTTTGAGATGGGGTCTTGATAAATTGCTGTGGTTGACTTCAAACATTCAATTCTCCTGCCTCAGGCTCCCAAGTTGCTGAAATTATGGGTGTGTGTAACTATGCCCAGCTTTTTTCTTGTTTATTGCATCCCCACTTAATAATATAAGCTGCTTGGAGAATGGGATATTGCCTGATTTCAATACGTGTATGGTACTTAGCATAGTGTCTGGTATGTTACAGGTGGGCAGTCAATATTTGTTGAATAACTAAAGGGATTTTTATCTTGATGTTTAGACCTTTAATCCATATTGGCAATGCATTGCTTCATCTTTAATGGGCAGATTTCCACAGATTCATATATAGATCAATTATGCACAAGTACTAATGTAAATGTGACAGCACGTATATTTGTCTACATGTGAGAAGGTAGGTTAAGTTTTGTGATTCTTGTAGTTTCTAGAGATTTGCATGTGATATTTGGCCATATATTAAAATTATAAGTATAGTGTTTAGGAAAGTTCTGTTTTTGTGTTGTAGAAGAAACAGTACTGTATTCAGAGGTGCAATTGATGTAGGCTTTTAATTCATTAAGTAGACTCCTCCTTTCTCACCAGGGTGTAGAAAAACTTAGAAAGAAAAAGAACTTTATATAAGACTCTTTCCTCTTCTACATCCCAAAGGTCACATTGCTAATAATGCCTTTGGAAAGAAAGGGAGATGACAACCAATATATTAAGTGGTTACTTTCTGCTGACTGTTTGCATGATCACATACACTTGTGCAAACACATAAATAAACCTGAGAGGAATCCTTCAGAATGAGGCTTTTACTGATGACTGTGAAGGGTGTTCATTATTAGAATGTATTTTAATATGTGAATATATAAATTTTAAATCTATAGTATTAGCAAATGTTCATTGTAGAGTATTATGAAAGTAAGTAGCAGTTACCCACAATGTCACCATATAAATAACTACCATTGTTAATATTTTTCAAGTCTTTTTTTTTAATGGGTTCTCACTAAATTGATGAGGCTGGCCTTGAACTCAGTATCCTCCCTGCCTCAGTCTCCTGAGAAACTGAAATTACAGGTGTACACTACCAAGCCCAGCTTTTCTTTTAGTTATGTTTTATATGTTTTTTAAATTAAGTAGCAACATTTATCATAAACATCTTCTCAAGTAATTTAAAATTCTATGTAAATTTTAAGCACATACTATTATATTCATCATGCAGGTACACCTCACTACTTAATCACTCATAACTCTAGGATTAAAGGTGTTTTCAGTTTTTTGATAACCAAATAACATTTTTGAGTTTACCATCTTTGTGCATAAATTTTTGTTTACCTTTATTAATGTTACCTGAAGTTACATTCCTTTAGAAGTGCAATTACTGAGTCAGAGAATGTCCATTTTTATAAGGTGCTTAAACACTTGGAGGATCACATTGCAGAGAAATTATATCAATTATATTTTCACCACCTGAGTGTATGAAAGTAACTTTCTCTCCATGTGAAAAAAGAGGAAAAGTATTTACTGACAAACAACAGTAAAAAATTTACATATAAGTTTCCTTTTCTTTTTCAAACAGTATATTAAACATTGTTTCAGTATGCTTTCTGTACCAGTGTTTCAACTTCTAGTATGGCCTAGAATGTTTTCTTGTCTGACAGTGGCTTTTAGTA